AGGCCATGTCACCTCTGGAGGCACGGGATGGTGCCTTCTAGAGTCATGCGTAACGGTATGTGTGTGTATGGATATTGCTCGGAGGCATGGTGACCCAGGGTTTGGTGGCACGAGGCCATGTCGCCTCTGGAGAGGCATGGGAGGGTGCTTTCCAGAGTCACGCATAAGGATATGTGTGTGTGTGTGGATATTGCCCGGAGGCATGGTGACCCAGGGTTTGGTGGCACGAGGCCATGTCACCTCTGGGGACACAGAACGGTGCTTTCTAGATTCACGCGTAAGGGTTCGTTTTGGGAGTCACTGCTGTTGTACAAATAAGAAGAGGCATTGTTGTTTATAGTTTACTAGCACTTTCTTATGATGTAAGACGCACTGTTGTCGAAATAGTTCTTTTTTCAACATGAACACGCAATTTCTAACTACATTACATATAAATGTGAGTTATTGACAAACTGTTTTGTCACGTCTAGATAGAATTAGCTTCGCGGGCTAAATCAAAAGTTTTAGTCTTCATTTTTTCTTAAGATCTTGCTAATCTCGTCACCCATTTCACTAGCTTTGACTTGATTCATCTCGCTATTAGAGAATGTACATTGCCTCTGCCCTCCAGTCTTCGACCTCATCCTGTGAAATTTTTGCCGAGAAGAGAAGTATATTATTAGAGTTTGTGCATATAAGTTGTTTATAAGTAAATATATATAAACTTACTGTCAAATCTTCTAGGTCTTCGACGAACTTTTCACCATTGTAGAGGAATGCAAGCTTTAAAACAGCAAATGTTGATTCTCCCTTTTCTACCACTGGAACATCTTGCACGGTATGAGTCTGCCATCTTGTACCCTTGGCATTCATTGTTTGTCCTAGTATGATGTTGAAGATTTGTTTAAACCTAGGTACCTGGGAATATTGTATTTTGTAATTAATTGTTTTAATATTGCAACTTGTAAAACTGAAAAAATTGTTATGTATAAATGCTTACAATTGCCGACTTATGAACATGATATTCCTGAAACTGTCTTTCTCGTTCTTCTCTAGCATCTTCATTTTCCTGAAGAACTCGACATGCTTCTTCTTCTGTCAATTTGTCGGTGTCTATCTTTTCTTTCTCAAATTCCTCGTGAGTTGTTTCTAGAGGATCAATAATGTGAACTTTGTGTTTGTATTTGTCCAGCACATATAGTACATAGCGGTCATGCTTCTCCATTGGAATGAATATCTGCGTACAAAATACTTGTTGCTTAGATGATAGTTTAATATAAAGTAATTTAATAGAATGCATATTTTCTGATTTTGTCATGGAAGAAAGGGTTGTTACCATGTTTGTTGTTGAGAGCTTTTTCCGTTGATTTTCCTTGAGATACATGGGAACCAGCCGATTCTTTGTTTTTTGCACTTCATTTTTAAATTTTGTAATAGTAGTTGTGTGTTTCTTTAAATCCAATATATGCTGCAAACAATATTTATGATGAAAAAAATTGTTAGAAAAAAGAGCCGTGTAAGAATATAAAAAGAGTAGTTGTTGCAGTATACACAAGATTTTGCTTTTTAAAAGTTTACCTCTGCAAAGTTTGAGCCTAATATTACTCTTTCACTCTGTTTTGATTGTTGTCTGCTTTCCCAGATTTCTGCTATGTCATCGTGTTGGGGAACGTAGCATAAATTCAAAACATTTCCTACGTGTCACCAAGATCTATCTATGGAGAAACCAGCAATGAGGGGAAGGAGAGTGCAT